CAACAAAAGGGGGGACGGGAGGCAGAGGAGGCTAACCTCCGTTTCAGGAATCATTTGCTTGGAAAATATGAAAATACATAAATAATTAAGACATCAGACTATGATGAAACTTTCAGGGAAATTCTGTGGTTAAAAAGTGTGCTGATGAAAACACGACAGTACCTTAAGTTTATATATGACAACAGATCCACTGAATTTACCTTGCAGATGCAGGCTTTGTATACGTCCAACCAGTCGACGCAATCACGCACACTGATTGCAGAAACTGAGCGCACGATTTAGTTATCCATGTACACGCCCGGATTACGGACCCCGCGGAGCCCGCCAGGGGTTAGTGGTGAAGAAAAAAACAGCAAACAAATCCGTGCGCATGGATTACTAAACTGAGAGCTCAGATTGTGGCGGCTGTGGCGGAGTGGTTAGGGGAGTCGTCCTGGAACCAGAAGGTCACTGGTTCGAGGTCCCCATCCAGCCGTCTCAGTCATTGTGTCCTTGGGCAAGACACTTCACCCACCTTGCCTACCTCTGGTGGTCAGAGGGTCCGGTGGCGCCGATGCATGGCAGCCCCACCTCTGTCAGTGCGCCCCAGGGCAGCTGTGGCTACAGTGTAGTTTGCCATCATCAGTGTGTGAATGTGAGTGTGAATGGGTGAATGTCTGTTAGTGTAAAGCGCTTTGGGGGTCCGGAGGGACTTGAAAAGCGCTCTATAAGTTCAGTACCATTTACCATTAGTAATCCGTGTGCATGGATTGCAAAAACTGAGTGCACGGTTTAATAATCCATGCGCATGGATTACTAAACTGAGCGCACAGATTAGTAATCCATGCGCACGGATTTCCGGCGGCTGTTTTTTCTTCAGCACTGACCCCTGGCGAACTCCGTAGGACTTCAATCTCCGAACTCGTAAAATTCTTTTTGACGTTGCAATGTCCTTTATGAATGGACTTCCTGGTATGTGGGGCAGGAAACGTAGCCTTATGGTGTTTTTAGGCTAATCACCTGTCCTCGTGCACGAGCACCTGATACGCATTCATCAGTTTATGCTGCTCATTTACACACTTTTCCTGAAGATAGAAGTGTTTGTTGAATCTGACGTGGCATGTTCGTACAAACAAAAGTAAGAGAAATTTAGGATAAGAATACAAACATGTTCTTGCATGAGGCCCATTGTTTGTAATTGCAATAGTCATTACATCATACATTTAGTTTTGTAGATGCTATTAATTTATTTGTGACTCAACAGTTTATGTAAAAACTTAACCTACAGTATGTGTGTTTAGACAACCCTGATGTCCAAACCTTCTGTGGTTTAGCAGGTTTAAATAATATCTGATCAAATCATTCTCACATGAAATTTATATAGAATAGATCAGATAGAAACATTTACATTATATTTTTCAGTTTTCCTTTTTTATTTTACATGTTCAATTAACATGAATCTGGAGGCAGACATGTACTTGGAATAACAACAGTTTATGGTTCTAAGTGATTTCTATCATACAGTATGCTTACCTTCTTCAGGTCGAAGTTTAGTTTCTGCCACAGACAGGAGAGCTCAGATTGAACAGAGAGAGAGACTGTCTGTTTAAATAAATAATCAGCTGAACTTTGAYTTTATTTGGTCTCTTCTTCAGCTTCTTGTTTGTTCTGCCTTTGCTCTGTGGAATGATCGACTGCTGAATATTTAAAGCATCAGACTGAAATGACAACAAATAGTTTTTTTATGCAGGCAGAGATCCAACATGCCTATATTTTTCTTGGGTTTGGACGTAGCYTCCTCTACACAGTAGAACTCGCCTTTGAAAAGCAACCATTTGAGTAAAAGATGGAAACATGTTTATTTTTGTACAGCAGTATGGCTGTATTTAAGTATTTATGTATAAACGAATAGGGGAAAATGTACAGAATAAAAGGTACAATAAAAGCTTGTATATTTTCTGTGTTTTCTGTGTATTCTCGAGCATCTCAGAGATGCCATGATTGGTCAGCTTTTAATCGTTCCACAGAGYAAATGCAGGAAAAACAAGAAGTTRTGAAAGAGAGTAAACAAAGCTGAAGTTCAGCTGATAAAACAGAATGTTTTTCTCTGTTCAGTCTAAGCTTTCTGTGGTTGAACAAACTGTAAATTAAAGAAGGTAAGTCCTTTAAATCATTTACAAAAATCAGTWTATTGTTTCTTCAATTACCTTTTAAATTATCCTGCCTACAAACTGACACCATTTTTATTTAATAAAGTAACACAAATATYTGCAGCAAAATCACGTCTAATTTCATTTGAATTAAAAGCTCCTGAGTTTAATTATGGTTTAATAGTCTAGAACATGAATAATCATGAAAATTAATCCACAATTGAAAAAATWATAAGTATAGTTTCTAGTTGATCTATTCGATGTAGATTATGTGTGAGAAAGATTTGACCAGATATTACTTAAAACAGCTCAACAGGTTTGGACATCAGGGCTGTCTACACTCATTAGGTTGCCTTACGAGGAAAATAACAGTATATGAAAAACCGAAAATATAATTGAATTAAATTTCTACATGACTGCATCGGCAAACATTGTGTAATGTCAGTAAACACTGCATGTTTGAACCTTTGTCTCAGACCACCAGGATGCGTGGAGCTGTGT